AACAAATATGACATTTCAGTATATGTCTATATTTCTGAGATGAGGTATTATATACATTATTTACATTATTCGGACTATTGACCTCATCTTTGTCGCTATATTTAGTTAGATCCAGTGAAAGGACCCAAAGAGTGTGAGTTCAATACCCGGTTAAGGCAGTGGAGAACTTGGTGAGAGGAATTAACAGGAGACAACTGATAACTGACATCCATTAAACATGGCACGTAGAACTAGAACTACCCCAGTGAGCGAAATAAAGGGTTCAGTTCGACATTCCAAGCACCTGAAGAAGGCCGGAGCGTACAACGGCCGAAACGTTGTAATAAATATGGCGACAAAGATGAGGACAATAGTCCGAATAATGTAAATAATGTAAATATGACACTTGCTTTTTAGTATCATTCTACTGTAGGCACCCGATGCGTGTGAAAATCTTGACAACACAGATTTTATATAGAGTATGTGTGACCAGAATATGGAAAGGTTTGTTTTCCTTGCCCAGTCTTTATTAAATTTTGTTTAGCCTTTTACAAAACTCAATACGTAAGGCGCCCAGTGAGGATCTAATTCACGATATTAATAATAACTTGTATTGTAAGATTGCGAACCGTTACAACTTGGCAATGTATCAATGCCACATTTGCCACACGGACGGTCTCCAGTAACATCAGTCGCGACAATTGTCCAGCTAGGCGATTCCGATAGCTCAGACGTTAGGAAATATAAAAATATGGCCGGCCGTCTCGGATACCATAAATATTATCACCCTCATAAAATATTTGACAGACAAAAAAAAAGGCAGCAAATAAATAAAACAATTCTTTCTTAAATTGATTTCTAAAAGGAAATTCTTAATATTTCAACACGAATCAGGTTTCCAATTTTTTTTCCAATTATTTCTAACGATATTTAATTATTTTATTTTTTCATGTTTTTATAAGAAACCATTTTTCTTTTACTATGAATAATAATTGCAAGATGTGTTTTCTTCTGATTTTATGTCATCAATTATTAATTAATAATTATATTAGTTATATTATAATTATATTAATATATTATAATTATATTATATAACATAATTATTATAAATTATTATAAATATTGTATAATAAATTATATTATATTTATATTAATTATTAATTATTATTATATATCATCAATTATTAAAATTTACAATAAATAATTATTGTAAAATATCTATAATAATTTTGATCAGAAATTGTAATTTGTTTATTTGCTAAATATTCCTATTTAGTTGATTGGTAAAATATAACGTTATATGCAATTTGTGATGTAATACTGTCAATGTAGATTAGTAATGAAGACACGGAACTTATCTCTTATATGTTACCTTACTGTTCCTTCAACCCTGGACCTGGTTAATCACAGTAGGTCAAGGAGAGTGTGACACTAGCTCCTTCTATTAACATGGACTCGGAACTATGAGTCTCTTATCTCTGTGAGGTGGATATTTACACACACATACAAACACACACACACACACACACACATGTAGCTTGGGAAATATGTGTGTGTGTGTGTGTGTGTGTGTGTGTGTGTGTGTGTGTGTGTGTGTGTGTGTACTGATTATTTGTGGGATAGTGTTTTATGTGCGTATGTGTGTGTATGTGTATAGGTACAAATAAGTTTACGAATTCCTCGTAGTAAGACAGTATATGTGTGGAGGGGAAATATACGCACGCATATATACACGCATGTTGACAGGAACACACCAAAATGGAAACAGATCCAAGAGCACATATAGGGTCACTAAAACATTAAAAGATAAAATGCCGATAACTACTGCTGGACCAACCTTAATTGTTTTATGACCCTTCACGCAGAACTCTTCATTGACAATTCTAGAAAGAAATTCGGATTACCAACACACAAACAGAGAATGTCTCATATCGAGAATATTTCACATTGAACATGAAGAAAAATTAATTATTTTTAATAATATGTAGAAATCTCCACTTTTACCTGAAGACGGTCGCGAGACCAGAAACACGTGTCGTAAAATTATGTAAAACAAAGCATAATATTTTTTCTAAATAAATCCACATTACAACCAAAAACGTTTGCGGCACCTCTCTTCTTCTTTTTCAATATATATATATATATATATATATATATATATATATATATATATATATATATATATATAATGTATGTATATACTTGCAATATGTTTTTCCACGCGTTCATATGCTAATCGTATCTCGGTCGCCAGTGTTTTTTTTTTGTTTGTTTGTTTGTTTGTTTGTTCTTTTTAATGTTAAGTGTAAATGCTGACATCGGGTGAAGCGTGAAGACCAGGAGGTCATCTCTCGGGTAAACCCTCTATTGCACTCTCTCTGGAGGACACGAATTGCCAATTCATCAGATTTTAGCATCATCTTACAAATTCTGTTTCATTTTTCTGAGATGAGGTATTATGCATACTATTTTTACATTATTCGGACTATTGTCCTCATCTTTGTCGCCATATTTATTACATTTCGGCCGTTGTACGCTCGGGCCTTCTTCAGGTGGTTGGAATGTCGAACTGAACCCTTTATTTCGCTCACTGGGGTAGATAACTGACATCCATTAGGCATCGCATGTGGAAATAGAACAGTCTACCCCAGTGAGCGAAATAGATAATATTCAATATAATCAATAATATTCAAATAATAATAATAATATTCAAATGATAATAATATTCAAATGATAATAATATTCAAATGACAATAATCTTCAATAACATTCAATGATATTCAAATAATATTCAATAATGATCACGTTCCACATCACTTCAAATAATATTCAAATAATAATAATATTCAAATAATATTCAAATAATATTCAAATAATATTCAATAATATTCAAATAATAATAATAATATAGAAATCTTTTGCAATAAAGATGTTGCCCGGATCTTCAATAATGTTGAGGTACATGATACATGAAAAAGTAACTTCTACTTAAAGCAGAGGAGCCACTATTATCTGCAGAATTATGCCAAAACTCTCACCCTAGTGTAACTGGAGAATTTAATACATTGTTTATTTTTACATCGCAAAAAAGGGAACGTTTACTTATTCTTGATCCTTCCAATTTAAATGATTGATTGTTAATGATGAACGTCCTATTTTAGCCTCAGTCAGTCGACCGTTGACGGATCAAAGTAATTGTGATGGGCGTCTTAGTAATAGCTTTAATCCTTTCAGAGTTAATGACTCAACATGTTAATGATGAACGTGTTATTTTTACGCTTGGTCCTTCCATTGTCAATGACGCAGCTTGTTAATGATGAGCGCTTTATTTTTACCCTTGATCCTTACATTGTTAACGATTCAATAATGAACGTCTTATTTTTACACTTGATCCTTCCATTGTCAATGACTGAACTTGCTAATGATAAACGCCCTCTTTTTACCCTTGATCCTTACATTGTTAACGATTCAATAATGAACGTCTTATTTTTACACTTGATCCTTCCATTGTCAATGACTGAACTTGCTAATGATGAACGCCCTCTTTTTACCCTTTGTCCTTCAATTGTTACCGATTCAATGATGTACATCTTTTTATTACACTTGATCCTTCCATTGTTAATGGCTCAATTTGTTAAAGATGAACACCTTAATTTTACCCTTGATTCTTTCATTGTTGAAGTTTTCAAAGATGAACATCTTATTTTTATCCTTGATCCGTCTATTCTTAATAACACAATTATGAAACTTCTTATTTTGACACTTGATCTTTCCATTCTTAATGACTTATCTTACTCATTATGGACTTTCTACTCTTGGCCTGGATCTTTCTATTTTTAATAACTCAGCCTTGATGTAAATCCATTAGAAATACTTTTAAATAGCGAATAGATTTGATTTATATTCCAGGCCGCTTGGGGAATATACCGTCCTCCTTCGCTCTGCCAAAATAACACATATAAAGGCAAAATGCAAACAGGAAATTTAACTGCTTATCCAGAGTTTAACCGTTTATTTACACCATTTTCGAATTTTCATTCGTAAGATTGCAGAATTCAGTGTTGATGAGACAACTCCAATAAATAATCATTCGCATGTAAAAACACAAGATAGAGAGAAATCGCGCGTGTGTGTGTGGACAAAAGATTCAACCAAGTTAGACAAATCCTTTAACGATTTCCGTATAATGGAGTTTGTCTATGAAGCTTACAAGGGAAGTAATTAAGGTGAAGTAAGAGGAAACTGGTCCTTTTCCTTTTCTTTCCTGTGGCTATTAATGTTCATGACTTCTAGATTTCTTATTTATGCTGGTTGGGTGGTTGGAGGAAGATTGTATTGGTTACGCTGATTTATTGCCATGACCTCTATATTCGAAAACTGATATGAACATTGAATCACACTATGAACATATCAGATAGAAAGGATGATACACTAATTCTAGACACTCTCCGAAAATCCATTCTTGATTTTGCGATGGTTGATAGACTTATAACTCGTAGTGCCGAAAATACTTAATTATTTTCTAAATATCTTCATATAAGTACATACATGTGTGTACACGAGTATACGGTATACATATACATTTAAAAATCAGTTTCAATCTAGAGAATAGTTGGGTGCGTGACAACCTCTTATTGATAGAACATTACCTTATATAGAGAGTTCGATCCCCGGTAGGCGCTTTAAATGAGAAGCTCTATCACACGAAAACAAACACCTTCCCTATTTTGAAGACTGAGATAGTAACCACCTTTCTACCTGTGCTAATGATTGATTTTAGAACCAAGGTTTGAGAAGCTGATTTCCAAGGCCCTACCTTTTCTTATAAGCAATAAAATAACTCTGAATTCAATTTCCCTATATTTTGGCATCTTTTGCCCAGTGTTAAGCTTAAGAAATTGCCATAGGTAGGAAAACTGGCTGGCACCTGCTTCCTCATAATTTGGAGGTTAATTTTCGCCAGTACTACGCTTGTGGCCCAACTCTCCCGAATGGTGCATTGTGTGTAATTACTATATCAGCTAACTTATACATAAATTCATAAGCGCGTAAATGTATGCTATTATATACGTGTATTTAGTCATGCTTGCATTGAAAACATTATATCCGCTATCACTGGATTCAAGCATGCCAGATAAACATAGATAGATAGATAGATAGATAGATAGATAGATAGATAGATAGATAGATAGATTGAGATAAATACGAAGGTAGATAGAGAGAGAGAGATAGAGAGAGAGAGAGATAGGTAGTAAGAAAGAAACAGAATTAGATAGATAGATAGAAATAAATAAAATAGATTTAGATAGATAGATTGAGATAAATACCAAGATAGATAGTAAGAAAGAAACAGAATTAGATAGATAGATAGATAGATAGATAGATAGATAGATAGATAGATAGATAGATAGATAGTAAGAAAGAAACAGGATTAGATAGATAGATAGATAGATAGATATATAGATAGATAGATAGATATAAATACGAAGGTAGATAGAGATAGATAGAGAGAGAGAGAGGTAGTAAGAAAGAAACAGAATTAGATAGATAGATAGATAGATAGATAGATAGATAGATAGATAGATAGATAGAAATACCAAGATACATACTAAGAAAGAAACAGGATTAGATAGATAGATAGATAGATAGATAGATAGATATAAATACGAAGGTAGATAGAGAGAGAGGGAGAGAGAGAGAGGTAGTAAGAAAGAAACAGAATTAGATAGATAGATAGATAGATAGATAGATAGATAGATAGATAGATAGATATTGATTGAGATAAATATGAAGATAGATAGATAGATAGATAGATAGATAGATAGATAGATATTGATTGAGATAAATATGAAGATAGATAGATAGATAGATAGATAGATAGATAGATAGATAGATAGATACAGAGAGAGTGATAAGAATTGAATGAGACTAATACGAACACGAGTGATAAAACTGAGTCCTTTCAACATTGATGTTTTCTTGTTTCGGCTTGAATACTGAACTCTGGAGAATGTGACAAATACAACCACAATATAAGCGATGTAATAGTTTCACTAATTCTACTTATATTCATCGCTATGGATGCCCGTGCTTGCGTGTTTTCTTCTGCTTGATTTCAAAGGATATTAATAGTAGGCGGAAGGATAGGTAAAGCATCAAGTAGCAACATAAATCCATCTCTGTTCTCTGTTCATTCCTAATTTCCATATGTATACATCTATCTAGCTATATATATATATATATATATATATATATATATATATATATATATATATATATATATATATTTAAAAATATGATTCCAACTCGCGACATAAGAGGTCTCATGTTCCAAAAAATTTTCGCTTGAAGATAATTATACTGAAGTTTTCGGCTCTTGTTTTGAAACATGAGACCTCTTATGTCGCGAGTTGGAATCATATTTTTAAATAAATAATTATATTTATGCTCTACTTTTGTATCGAGCACTATTTTTTAAAAATAATAACTAAAATACTAAGGAACTTTGGATTATTTACCTAACCAGTTCCTTCCTATTTTCTATATATTTTCACACAGACACACACACAGACACAGACACACACACACACACACACACATATATATATATATATATATATATATCTGTCTGTTCGTATCTATCTTTACCTGTTTCTATCTATCGATCTAGCTAATTCTCGCGCTTTCTCCCTTTCTTTCACACTCTCTCTCTCTCTCTCTCTCACACACACACACACACACACACACACACATACATATATATATATATATATATATATATATATATATATATATATATATATATATATATATATATATATATATATATATATATATATATATATATATACCGTGAGACGATAGCCTAGGGTAGAATCTCTGACTGATACAAATCAGTCGGGTTTCGATTCCGACTTAAAGCAATCGGACGTCTCACCACACAAAAGCTATGATATAGAGGATGACTATATATATATATATATATATAAACCGGATGTAACAGCAAAATCGTTCAGATAGTGTAACAGCAAAATTGTTTAAATTGTTAGTTCAAGTTTTGTACCGTTGTATTTTAGAAATGATTAAAGATACCTTACTGGAATTCTCCGAGGTTTTTCTGACACCATTGGATTCTACTTTTAACAGAAGAATCTATTTAGATCTAATTTGAAATGATGGTCCCTCTACCTGTTTTGACCTCCGTTCATCCGTGATTCACCGTTCTTGAATTGACTTTAAAGATGGACGTCAGTGTATGAATGTTGGTACCATTACGGAAGGTCTGAATTATCTTTTTCCTCTCAGCATTGTTCAGGTGGGAAGACATTGTGGGGCAGACACAAAACGATTTTAATTTGTTCTCTTTCTAGCTGAATAAGGCAAAAGGCTTTTCAGCTGTTCTTACGACAAAAGGTGTCAAGATGGCTAACTTAATTTAAAGAGAATTTTATATGAGTAGGGCCTTACTTTCCGTACAAACTATAATTTTTATTTCATGGGTGACTTTCGGTGGATTTTGCAAATAATTTCGATTATTCCCAAATTTATTTCCAAGTTAAAAAAATTGTTATCGTACAAAAACATTCGTTGCATAAAACACGTAAAAAATCGCCGAAAAAATTACAGTATTGAAAACACGGGAATCCAAAATTTCTGTAACCTCTGCTATTGAAAGTTAGATTGTTGTGTCTCTTTTATTGAAAAAAATGTGACACAATGACACACTGACATTCGCATTTATATATATATATATATATATATATATATATATATATATATATATATATATGCCACAATCTGTCAGTTTGTCTCTATCTATTTCTGCTCCTATCTACATGTGTACCTATTTATACCTTTGCCTTTCTTATCTCTTTGCCTGTCTCTTCTCTCTCTCTCTCTCTCTCTCTATCTCGGTCTGTTATCTATTTTTCTATCTCAGTATATCTGTATCTCTCAATTATTCTCTATCATTTTTTTTTGCTTCTCTCGGTTTCCATTTCTCACCCCCTCTCTATGTATCTATCACCTTTCTCACCTTCGCTCTCTCTCTCTCCCTCTCTCTCTCTCTCTCTCTCTCACTCACTCACTCTCTCTGCTTTTTGCTTCTCTCGCTTTCCGTTTCTCACCCCCTCTCAGTGTATCTATCACCTTTCTCACCTCCTCTCTCTCTCTCTCTCTCTCTCTCTCTCACTCGCTCGCTCTCTCTGCTTTTTGCTTCTCTCGCTTTCCGTTTCTCACCATCTCTCTATGTATCTATCACCTTTCTCACCTTCTCTCTCTCTCTCTCTCTCACTCGCTCGCTCTCTCTGCTTTTTGCTTCTCTCGCTTTCCGTTTCTCACCCCCTCTCTATGTATCTATCACCTTTCTCACATTCTCTCTCTCTCTCACTCACTCGCTCTCTCTGCTTTTTACTTCTCTCGCTTTCCGTTTCTCACCCCCTCTCTATGTATCGATCTATTTCTCCCCTCCTTCTCTCTTTATGCTTTTGTTTGCATTATATTTACTCTAACCCCTTCTTATCACTTTTCCAGTCTGTTTCTTATTCTCTTCACCTTATTTCCTCTCACACTTCTCTCTTCTCTTTCTTTCTCAACCTACATTTGTCCCTTACCTCTTTTCTCTGCCTGTCTTTTCCTCATTCTATTCGTCTAACTTCCCTCTCTCTTCTTCTTTTTTCTTTTCTCTTTTCTCTCTTCGACTGGTGGGCTGCACAAGAGTGGAGTTAGTCGTCCATTAGAGCATAATACCAGACAGGATTAAATTGTAATCTGTATCCAATTGACGTGAAAGGTGTCCACGCTAATGGCTCTGGAGAGCCTCTTCGAGCAACGTGGAAGCCATCTTTGCCGCCTGATTAGACGCACGGATTGTAACCGAGATAGAGAAGTCGAAAGAGATCAGGAGTAAGGCGGTGTGCAAATGGTTGTAAGCAGGATTGGAGATGGGTCTAAAATAACAGCTATGAACCTTTGTCTTTTTGAATACAAGATAGCAGCCATGATGACGAAGAAATTTATAATGAACACAGGGGAAGGGTCAACACTGTGTAATTGTGTAAGTCTTTGTGCATGCGCGAGATTACGTGTATGTATGCGTGTTTGAATCAGGCTGGGGACTTCAGTCTATAATTATATGTAAATATTTAACTCGAACTTGTCTAAATATTTAACTAGACCATGGCGGTACATACATTTCCAAGGAAGTTGTGTCATGCGCATTTCGATAACAGTAGATTTTGATTGCAAATAACAGGCAAGGAACACCAGAGTAGAAAAGAACTGAATTCAGATGGTGAAGTAATTTTTCATGGTTACATTCCACAAAGTTTTTGTTATGAACCAGTCTACACACACACGCACACACACTTTCAGAAAAATAAAAAAAATAAAATAAAAAATATATAAATCTCCATAGACACTTAACCAGACTAGACGATGTCATCTTCCGCTTTAAATTGAGACACCCCAACCTTACCCTGACTTGACATCTGTGAATGTAACTGAGATATTGATACAAATAATTAACACTTACGACCCTTTTCTTTAAACAGTTGCTCTAGCCGTTACCATAGTAATCTTAATTTTAATAATGAATATGCTTATAAAACGCGTAAATTTCAGGAATAAGTTATTCCAGAAAAAATTTCGCTTGAAGATGGAACAGAGCTTAGTACTTTAATTCAATTTAATTCAAATAATTATATTGAAGTTTTCGGCTCTTGTTTTGAAACATGATAACTCTTATGTAGTGTTGGAATCATATTTTTAAATAAATAATTATATATATATATATATATATATATGTGTAAGCAAATATATGGATATAGATCCGACAGTATAAAGAAAAATATATACGGAAAAAACAAACAGCATAATTGCATATAAGGATTTTTGTTTGTTTTTTCCGTATATATTTTTATTTATATATATATATATATATATGTTTCATTAAAGACGACAGAAAAGGTACTACGATCAAGCATTTTATTTAATATTTTTTTGTGTTCGAACAAGTGTTTTTTTTTGGTGGGGGGGATTTTTTTAGGACACAGTGTGCGTTGAAACTGTCCAAATGTTCTATAGTTCCGAGCGCTTTCGGCTATACTTTTAGCTATTATCAAGGATGATTTCGTTTTGGCTTTTTAATTGGGTGTATAGGTTGTGTGTATGTTTTTAGAGTTATAGGTATATTTTATTTTCAGAACGCAGCACATTGTGGTTGTGTTCGTAGTTAATATTATTAAGGCTTGGCTTTTTCTTTTTATTATTAAGTCTTCCATTTTTTTAATCTTTTTTTTTACATGTGGATGAGTTTGTATTTTCTATCACTATGTTTCAGATGGAGTCTGGTAAGTTTGTGTGCGTGTTTAAATGAATTCTAATAGATCTGTGGTAGGATAAGTGTAACGTAAGTCATGTAGTCGTATGACCGATGTAATTATGAATTTGGTTTGATCCTTTTTGGGGTATTTGATCTCGTAGATAATGTTCGTCCCTTGTAATTTTGCTGGTCTGTTGTTATTTTTTACGGTGAGGTTAATAGTTTTAAATTTTTTGTAGTAGATAATTACTTTGATTTTTTTGTCCGGGTCAACTGGGGTAGGGTATTTCTTAATAATATTTCTAAGTGAAGATACATCTTGTTTGTAGTTGATGTGCATTTGGATTTTGTATAAAATAAGTTATTTTTGACTGTGTGTTCACTATCGTTGTTATTTACTTTGCGGGGAAATAGTTTTATTTGTTGGTCTATAAGGTGGTTAGGGAAGCCATTTTTAGTGTCTCTTTTACATTATTGAGTTATTTGAGCAAGAGTAGTCGAGAGGATGAATTTTGGTGTACTCTTTTTAGGAAGTTTTTTTATCACTGATATTTTGTATCTTAGTGGGCATTCACTTTTAAAGTTAAGGTGGCAAGAGTTTCTGCTAGTGGCTTTTTATATAATGAGGTGATAAAAGTGTTGTTACTA